TTTCTGATGAAGGGTCTAGGCCCGAAACGTCAGCCTTTCTGCTCCTATGATGCTGCTTGGCCTGCTGTGTTCATCCAGCCCTGCACCTTGTTGTCATTGGTTTAATAAATGTGCAAAAAAAATTACAGCAAAAAGAAAATTAGGGCATGACTTTTAAAATAAAACAAAGTTGTAACATGAATCAGAAATTACTAAGATTTAAATTTGAAGTGGTGAAAGTTTTCAGGAAGGTGATAGGTATAGTTCTTAGGGCTAAAGGGAACAAAGGGTATGGACAAAAGCAGGAAGAGGATACTGACTGGAAAAATCAGCCACGATCACATTGAATAGCAGGGCAGGCACGAAGGGCTGAATGGCCTACCCCTGTTCCTACTTTCTATGTTTCTATGAAAAGAACATGAGTCCAGAAATTCTGGCAACACAATTCAATTGTACCAAAATACAATGATTACAATGGCAGTTTCTCAACTGGTACAATAATATTAAGAAAGAAAATTTGAAATGTTATGACCAGCACACACAGTCTCTTGTTCCTAAATCTTAAGTGCGGATCTATCACATTTGACAATGCAGACTTCCATGTGTTACAAAGCAGAGGTCGACACCCGGCACCCCCCTCCCCCCCACCCCCAACCACGATAACTAAAACCGAAATACCCAGAGAAGCTCACCTCACCTCGTAACCTGTTAAAGGAAGTGTGAAAAGTGGTATAACCTGCCTCTCACCATGCACCCAATCTGTTATAAAAGGAGTGGTTAAATGAAAGAAATCCCTGATACTCACTTTGTAATCAACAAGTAACAATTTATTTGTCTGATTCTAACAGTAAACAAATTAACAGAACTACTAACAAACCAAACAATTCCCCCTTAATTACTAACTATTCCCAAATAAAAACAAAGTTCTATGATATGCTGTTCCAATAAATACAAGCCCCACTTATATGAACCAAAGTATTAAGAAAAATAAATTAAAACTCAATCTCTCAAAATTACAACTAAGAAAAGTCTTCGAGTGTTCTTTGCCTTCTCCACTGTTCTCTAGTCAGGAATGCCTATCTCCATCAAATTCGTGTGTCAGGAATATTAACTAAGAGTGCCATAGTACCTTTATTTAGATGGTGCTTACTCTGATAGCTTAGAGATTTCTGAGTGTGCCAATGATTTTCTCTTTCTTTAGAGCTGAACTTGAGCTGTTGAGAGCTGTTCTCTTAACAGATGGCAGTTGCTCTCCCACCTCTTCTTTTATACCCTTGATCACCTATCAATTTCTTACATTTGGATTGGTCCTAGGTTGTCAAAACCATTAGATTTAAATTTAATTGCTTTTTAGTCTCCAAGTGCCCAGTTGCCTTGTTAACAAAACAAATTGCCAAACAAAATAAAACTGCTTAAGTTTCTAGCCATCAGCCTTTTGATAATGTTTTAATTTCAAGAGCTCTCTGCACACCTGTACATTTTTTACATCTCTTCAAGGGACCACGCACTCTTCCCCCTATCATTTTACAAACATCAAACTCTAACATCCTGCCTTCCAATCCACAAATACTCTACCTAACTTCGCAACACATCAACATTTGCTATCAGATTTTTGCCATGACAACATCTGGCCAGCAGGTGGTCATACGAAGGGGGTTTCTGAAGACTCTCTCCAACTCCAACTCCAACTCCAACTCCAACTCACCATCTTGCAAATATTTACAAAGGCTGCATTTATGGGCAATGACACTGCCAGGTAAAGTGTTGTAGTATGCAAGTGCCAGAAGTGAGTGAATTGCACCTGACAATCTGGCAAAAATGACTGCGTCTGTTGTGCGAAAATTCAATCCAAGCAGAAACAAGTAAGCAGACCACAACAAGTTCTCACATTAGATTTTAAACTAATTGTAAGACCAGGAAAACAGAGCATAATTACAATCACCTGATAAATGTCCTTGTAAATCAATGCTTCTGGTGAATGTTAAATAGCCCGGTCTCTGTACAGGCACAATACAAAGTGGGTGACAATTTTCAAACCAGTGACTCTCCTACCAAAGAAATTTACAGGCTGATTATACTTGTTGCTGTGTTTTCCCAGATCTTACAAACAATTTAAAATTTAAATGTTATGCCAGTGATCAGTCATTGTGACTATTACAACTATCTGTTCAATAATGAGAGAAGTTTCTAATCGTTGCCCAGTTTCATCTACATGTGACTCTAACCCTACAGGTTTACTCTCAATTGCCCTTTAAAATAACTGAGTAAGCTACTTGGTTTAAGGGTAATTAGGAATGGGCAACAAATATTGATCACGCTAGTGATGCCCATATTCCATGAAATTATAAAGAAAAAGAATTATGAAGCCAAGATGGTGAGAATTATTCCGTTGTTCAGAAATGAAAAGCAGTACAATGAGTCTGTACTCACCATACATCTCACAAACATTTCCAACACTCATGGTCAGGAGTGAGAACTCCATCCGTTTCCAGACTAGCCAACCGTAGATCAGCTAACTTTAGCACAGATCAGACTAGAACCAACGTTGTTTCTTCCTGTTTGACTTAACTCCACTTACCCAAGTGAGCAACAATCTGTAGACTGAAATCTATCAGCAGGAAATGGACAATGGGCAGGTGTGGGGGATACATACATCACAAAACCCTTAAAGTTTGATATTTTTGCAAGATTCCTGTGCCAAGAGGAACAAGTCCAATTGTAAAGTACATCCACTGTGACTGTATGAAGTTCCTTAGTTTTCTTCCTGTAGCACATAATATTAACTGCCTAGAGGACAAATGAAAACAACTACTTTTAAACAATTTGGCTGTGCAGGAGTACAACTCTGGATCACATGATCTGCCTTTGAGAAGTTCTAGGACTTGATTTCTTCTGTAAATAACAGTCTCTGAAACCCAAAAGTGAATAATTTTGTGAAGTACTTGGAGATATTTCAGTGAATAATGAACACTACTTTGATACAAACATAGCAATACTTTTAAGATGCTAATGCAGGGCTTGGATGTTTAAGAATGCTAAAACATTGACATAATTTGGACATTGATAGTCCAATGTTATCGCATATTGCTCATGGACAGCAAATTGCATCTGGAATCACAGCAAAGGCTGGTGTACTGGTGCAGAGATGAGCAACTTGCCAATCTATTACTGTATCATACCCAAAGTTCTTATAGAAAAGTCAAATGGTAGAAACCAGAGGGACTGCTAAATGACATACTAACATAATATCTTATTAGTCAGAGTTGCATTTATTATGTGATTTTTCAGTACCAAATATAGTTCCATACTTTGGCCTCTTCTGGAGTACTGTGTGCAGTTCTGGTCACCCTGCTATAGGAAGGATATTAATTGAATTAGAGAGAGG